TTCCATTGCCGTTTATTTAAAGTTCATCTTTTCACGTGTGTTTGAGATGCTACCTTTATTATGACTAAATTTACATATATTATGGAATTTAAAAAAATGTGTTCCCAGGCTTCCCTGGTGGCGCAGTGGTTGAGAGTCCGCCCGCCGATGCAGGGGACACGGGTTCATGCCCCGGTCCGGGAAGATCCCACATGCCGCGGAGCGGCTGGGCCCGTGAGCCATGGCTGCTGAGCCTGCGCGTTCGGAGCCTGTGCTCCGCAACGGGAGAGGCCACAACAGTGAGAGGCCCGTGTACTGCAAAAAAAAAAAAAAAAAAATGTGTTCCCTTGGTTGCCAATATCATAGCTTTTTTGTTTTTCTTTTAAATTTTATTTATTTTTTGGCTAGATTGGGTCTTCGTTGCTGCGCACAGGCTTTCTCTAGTTGTGGTGAGTGAGGGCTACTCTTCATTGTAGTGTGCAGGTTTCTCATTGTGGTGGCTTCTCTTGCTGTGGAACACGGGCTCTAGGCATGCAGGCTTCAGTAGCTGCAGCACGTGGACTCAGTAATTGTGGCACACGGGCTTCAGTAGTTGTGACATGCGAGCTCAGTAGTTGTGGCTCTTGGGCTCTAGAGTGCAGGCTTAGTGGTTGTGACACACGGGCTTAGTCGCTCCGCGGCATGTGGGATCTTCCTGGACCAGGGCTCGAACCCATGTCCCCTGCATTGGCAGGCAGATTCTTAACCACTGCGCCACCAGGGAAGTCCTATTACGGCTTTTTAAAGCCTTTTTATTTTTAAATAACTTTGGACTTACAAAAGAGTTGGAAAAATAATAGAGAGTTCCCATGTACCCTTCACTTAGCTTCTCCTAATGTTAACATCTTACACATCCATAGTATAATGATCAGAGCTAAGAAATTAACTTACTGTACAGTACAGCTGACTTCATACTATTTTACTTATAATGGCTTTGTACAGTAGTTTAATATGTGGTAGGTGTACTCCTGCTCTTTTTTCATGTTTTCCCTTTTTTGCTTGTTTGTTTTTTTTCAGTTTTCTAGCTGCAGAAAACAAAATAAAAACCAGCCTTATATAATATTTATATTGGGACCATGTACAATTTATAAATTAACTTAGGGAGAAATGACATCTTTATGATACTGAATCTTTATGTACACAAACAAGGTATGTCTTTCCATTTGTTGAAATGTACCTTTGTGTCTTTCAGAAGCATTTTATAGTTTTCTCATAATATGTTTTGAACTCTTTGTTCAGTTTATGCCTGTGCTTTTTTTGTTTTGGTTTTGGTTTTTTGGGTTTTTTTGCCTGTGTTTTTTTTAATTATAAATAAGATCTTCCATTTCATCTTCTATCTGGTTTCTCTTTACACATATAAAGGAAAGGTTTCTGTATATTTTGTACTACACTAAATTACTAGACTATCTTGTTGTGGTAACACTTAGTTGATTCTTTTGGATATTCTAGGTATATAATTATATCATCTGCCAATAGTAATCCTTTCTAATTTCATTCTTTAATTGTGTTGACTGGTACAATGAATAAGAGTGGTAAAAATGGGCTTTCCCTTAGTTTAGCAATATAGTATACCCAGTGTTTCCATATTCTGTGGTACTGGCTTTGGGCTGCTATATATTGTGTTAAAAAAAAAAAAAAGTGTCCTATTATATTGAGTATTTTCAACAAAACTGGACATTGAATTTGTAAAGCATCTTTTCATCACCTTTGGCATGATAATATTTTTCTTCTGTGTAGACCTATTAATATGTTGAATAATGTCGATTTTATAATAGTGATTTTTGTTGTAAATTTTAGATTTTCCATCTCTTTTTGTTGTTAGTTTTGATAAATTACATTTTCTAGTAAATTATCTATTTCATTTAGTTTTCAAATTTATTTACATAGAATTGAGCAAAGTAGTCTTTTATGATCTTTTGGTTTCTTCTTTCTATTGGTATTTTCCTCTTTTTTCATTACCATCTAACAGTACTGGCAAATACATCTTTTTATTTAATTCATTAAAACAAAACAATAGGGCTTCCCTGGTGGTGCAGTGGTTGGGGGTCCGCCTGCCGATTCAGGGGACGCGGGTTCGTGCCCCGGTCCGTGAAGATCCCACATGCCACGGAGCGGCTGGGCCCGTGACCATGGCCGCTGGGCCTGCGCATCCGCGTCCGGAGCTTGTGCTCCGCAACGGGAGAGGCCGCAGCAGTGAGAGGCCCGCGTACCGCAAAAACAAACAAACAATAAAAGCAGTTTAACAAATTTTTTAAAAAGTGATCCCAAACTTCTTAAATTATAATAAAGAATCCTTCAGATTTAATTCTAATTGAATCCTTCAGACTTAATTTTAATTGCCTGCCTAAACTTTTCTGCCTCCTTGCATTAATTTCTTAGGATACTGGTAAATTTGTTTTCCAGTCAACATTTGGATAAAAATCTAAATAACAGTCCTTTTGCTTTCTTCTCCCCTACCCTACTCTTAAGGGGTGAGGATCTCTTTACTGGGTATCCGTACTGAAAAACAAATTTAGATCTTTGTATATTCTCAGTAGCGTGAAAGATTCAGAGTTTTTCCCCATTTCATGTGATAAATTTTGATATTTTTAATGATGCTGAGTGACTTTCATTTAAGATATATTGGGTATGAAATTCATGTGATTGTATAAAAGGCATTCTAAAATAAATTTATGAGTTCTTAAATTTTTCAGTAAGCAGTTTTGACTTAGGGATGGCTGCAACATCCTGCAAGGGTATAAGGCAAAGTATTACTCCATGAAACGTCTTATTTTTCCTGTAAAATTGTATGAAAGCACCCTGCTTTCTAAAGCAGAAATGACTTAAATGATTTGATTCTGGAGGGGGGAAAAAAGGTGATAAAAAAATTTTTTTTAATATTTATTTATTTATTTGGCTGCGCTGGGCCTCAGTTGCAGCATGCGGGATCTATTTCCCTGACCAGGGATCGAACCCGGACCCCCTGCATTGGGAGTGTGGAGCCTTAACCACTGGACCACCAGGGAAGTCCCATGATCAAATGTTTTAATTGTCCATCTGAAGGGCTGAATTCCTTTCCCTCCAGTGAAGAGCACTTTTAGTAGTCTCGTGTTCATTTTGCCCATCTGGTTCTTTTTGTGATTGTGTGAGGTTATAACCTCTGTGTCTTAGCATACTTCTGTGTACTTTGCTCTTTCTCTGTGTTATTACCTTTTCTCTTATTTTATTGTTTTAGTGGAAGATTACCTGTTAGGATTTAATTTGAAATGAAGATCCCCACTTCTGTCACATGGTTTTTAATGTGCTACCTCTTTTCAGACCTGCTTATTAGTGGTATGGTGTAAAACAGATAAGTGACCCCACCTATGAATTTCTCCCTTGTTTTTGAGACATCTCTGTCTTTTTCAAGGGGGTGAATTATTCTTCACCTCTTGTCCATTGGTTGGGGGACTGGGGCTTACAACAATAGATCAACAGTAGGTCTTACTAAGGAAGTTATGTTTCAAGTGTATTTTCGTAATATAACTTACACAGCACTTTTATTTTTAGACCCTCCTTTTGTTTCTTAATTCTAACAATATCCCTGTAAATTATATTAGAACAGGTAGTAAATGTCCACTGTACAAATGGTGAAATGAATTTCAATGAAGGGGCAAAGGTAAAAACAGGACCAAGACTGAAATTAAGACCCAGATCTCCAAATACAAGTCATTCTTTTCAGCAGTAAAGACTTTTGTGAGTGATCCCCACCTCCCAGGATTCCGTTTCCTCCTCAGGAATCGGTGGGTTGCACCAGGTTTATCATTGACTCTAGCCATTCGTGAACAGATGAGACTTGAGTCCCTTGATTTCCCTTGTTAGGGACCTTCCAGTTCCTGAACCCCCAATATTGTCATGACTAGCCAGTGTTATAATTTGTCTGCCTTATTTTGTGTAGTGGATTTTTATTACAGAAACATTTTTTTTAATGTCCAGATCTTTAAGTATTGCTTGAGTACAAACTTTGTTATACTTTTTAGCTTTTAAATATAGGTAGAATTTTATTTATTCCTAAGTGAGTTTGGGATTAAACTAAAAAGAGAATCTGGGTCTTTGAAACTTGGTTAGTCTGAACGTAACTCCTAGCATTCTCTAATTCTTCAGGCCAAGAGCCTCTTATTACCTGGCTATCTTCTATATCTTTCTTTTCTCCCCTCTTCTTTCATAGTCTTGTAATTAACAGCCAGGCTCTTCTTCACTTCTCTTTGACAGTCTCTACTCCTGAAGGCATCAGTTTTCTTTAAGTGTCTTTCAGCCTCAGTCTGAACACAGTGGGTCCCAAGATGCATATGCCATAGCATGGCCTGTTATATTCATCCTTTTGGATGAATGTATTAGAATTTATACTAGTAATTATTATCATCTTTCTATCCAAAAGATTTGAAGTCTCAATCTAAACTTCTCCCTTGTGTCCATTTTGTTAATGACTGCCTTTTTAATGACGCCTTCTTGGAACTTCATACTTCCCTATGGATAATGTTTGAGACTAGCCTTTTATCAAATGAAAAGTGGTAGAATGCAATACCTAATCTCATTAATCCATTCTGGCTTTAAAATTATGTGACTATTGGAAAAAATCCAGAAATAAATTAATATTACCAATATAAATAAATTTCTTATCAATGATTATATTTCCTAAGTCTTGCCATTTAAAATATCTTTAAAACCTTCTAAAAAATTCTAACCTGATAGAAATCTCATCCACCTGTGAAAAGACAAATGTTTTCAAACACTACTGAAGTTCTCTTCTATTTTAGTCCTATCTGTCTTTAATTAAGACCCCAGTATTTCATCCTCTTAGAAAGATGCTGCTACTTGCACAATATTGTTTTGAGATGGAAACTACTACATAAACACAATTCTTCTTATTAAGTGTCTCCAGGGTTTTGTTTATCCCTTTCTTTGTAAACAAGCAGCCACTATATTTTTAGTAGTGAATTTCAAAATCCTTTTTAACCTTATAGGTCCAAGGGTAGCCAAGGATGGCTGCAGCTTCATATGATCAGTTGTTAAAGCAAGTTGAGGCACTGAAGATGGAGAACTCAAATCTTCGACAAGAGCTAGAAGATAATTCCAATCATCTTACAAAACTGGAAACTGAGGCATCTAATATGAAGGTATCAAGACTGTGACTTTTAATTGTAGTTTATCCATTTTTATTCAGTACTCCTTTCTGTAAACTTGGGATTAGACACTTCACTTACTTAAAAGTGTGTTGTAAGTTAAGCAGTAATATGTAAACTCTTTCTTGCAAAAGTTAACATTTATATTTTTAAACAAAGTGTTTTGAATTCATCCAGCAAATCATATAAAGAAAATGATTGTAAAACCCCAGTGACTCATTAGTTAGTTCTTAGTTATTTTTAAGCTTAAAAATAAAAGGCCAATTTAACCGTCACTATAGTGAGGGTGGGTATTCTGTGTAATTCATAGAAACTAGCCTCACAACCTTAGAATATATCTCAAGTATTAAATATTGCCATCATCCCCAACTCTCTCAGATTTTGTCTTCACTTAAGTGCTGCAATGATAGGTGATCAAGAAAATCAGGGTGCCCTAGTGGGAAGAGTCCTGAACTGAAAATCAGTACCTGGTCCTGTTCCTGGTTTTGTCATAAGCTAAACTACATACTCTAGGGTACCCTTCTAGAAGTTGCCTTATTTGGAAAATACAGTCATTGCACTAGCATAGATGATTTCCATGACACCTTCACGCCCTGAAATTGGTTTCCCAAATAACATTGAAAAGCTGTGATAACTTCCACGACAAGTTATAAAATATCACGTCTGCACTGGGGAAAATATGTTCTAATTTCAAAATAATTAAGGTTAAAGCTTTAACTGTTTTAATTTCCAGCTACTTAGGCAGATTCTCCTCTCCCTGAATTTAATAACTTTATAGAATTGGAGATTCAACAAAACTGTTACCTCCTTCTCTTTTAAAAAATTCTTCCTGCTACGTGTTGTTTCTGTGCCTTGGCTATTTTAACCATCTGGGTTTCCGACCCTTTCTTCCTGTCTGCTCACTACTCTTATTCCGTATTCATTTCCTAGTCTCTTCTAGTTCTTTTTCCATGCATTTTGAGGTCTCCCTTATTCTTCAAGCTTCTGTATATCACTGAACTATTTTTGCTCCTCTTTTAGTTTTGTATTCATTATCATAACAGTTCAGCCTTTTACTCATATGAGCTTTTCTTTCTTTTTCTTTCTTTCTCTTCTTTCTTTTCTTTCTTTCTTTCTTTTTTTCTTTCTTTCTTTCTTTTTCTCTCTCTGTTTCTTTCTCTCTCTCTTCCTCTTTTTCTTTCTCTCCCTCCCTCCCTCCCTCCCTATGTATCTATAAATCTTTTCCACTCTAATTGCCTATTTCTATGGCAGTAGCAATTGACAGATCTCCAAGATACCTACCTCAAGTCCTTTTGGAGATTAAGTAGACTATAAAGAAACATTTTTTCTCACCACAGACTTTGGGTGACCTTAAAAACAGCTGACTCAATTACCTACTAGGTTAAAAAAGTATAGTCTGGTATTTTAAGACAGATCAACATAATATATCTAAAATTATTGTACATGGCATGTGGTTTTAAAAGTTTAAAGATAAAAAACTTAAAATTCCCAGCAGGACTACTCTTTCATCTACTTCAGAAGTATACTTAGTAGGGAATTCTTCCTGGCATGCCTATCTCAATGTCTCTTTTGTAGTGCAGAATTCTGAGGTCCTTTTAAAAGTTGTTGGGTTTTTTTTTTAAACTACTTGAGCAAATTCAAAATTCATTTTTGGGAAACATTTTAACCTATCTTTAGATCCATCTCCATGTTGAAATGGAATGTCTCTCAGAGTAACAATACAAGTCAGACCCTTATATTTCTACACTAGAATATCAGGGTGACCTCTTAGCCATGTGGTATAATATACATCATGAATATTACTATTTAATATTAAATACTAATTAAATACTAATATTGTCTGAATTCAACTGTGAATTGATTATTACTCAGCAAGTGCTTTTACAGACATCCTTGCTAAGCCATCCACGTATTTCTTCAGGATTGGGTGTATGTTATCATAGCAGTTACGACCTTGTACTGAAATTATTTATGTATCTCTCCTTTTAAGAGGCTTTATGTATGGTGTTAAAGAATAGGAACCATGACCTGTTTATTTTGTCTTAGAATATTGAGTTGTGAAAAAACACTTGGAAACATTGGCACTTCTTACACTGGATTAAAGTTAATCCAAAACAATGGTTATTTCTCAAAAAATCACTTATTAGACTTTGGAATACATCATATGATCTTGAATTATGTTTACTGATCATTAACATATTTACTCTATGGAAGGCAAGGTGTGTCTCCTCCAACTAGGTATCTCAGGATTTCTGAAGTTTATGCAGTAGTACCATCTAGTGGCAAAAGAGAATACTGCTTTGCTATTGATTACATGTCATTGATACTATAAAAATATTTTGTGTGTGTGTGTCAGGAAAGTATGTGTACAACAGTTAGGGAAATGTGAACACTGTATATTTGAGAATATTAAGGAAATGCTTATTTTTTAGGTATAATGATGGCATTGTGTTTAGAAAGAATCCCTGTGTAAATATACATATCGAATTTTTTTTTTTTTTTTTTTTTTTTTGCGGTACGCGGGCCTCTCACTATTGTGGCCTCTCCTGTTGTGGAGCACAGGCTCTGGACGCGCAGGCTCAGTGGCCATGGCTTACGGGCCCAGCCGCTCCGCAGCATGTGGGATCTTCCCGGACCGGGGCACGAACTCGTGTCCCCTGCATCGGCAGGCGGACTCTTCCACTGCGCCACCAGGGAAGCCCGTATATCGAATTTTTTTACAGAAGAAACAGTGTGTCTGAGATTTGTTTTTCAGATAAATTTGGGTTGTAGGGGAAAGGAGAAAATGGTTATGGGTATAGATGAAAGAAGCCCATGAGTTGATAGTTACTGAAGTAAGATGTGAGGATACATAGGAGTTTGTTATATTGTTCTCTACATTTATGTATATACTTGACATTTCTGTAATTAAAATAAAATACAGATTTTGTGGGATTTAGATCAGATAAATGCAGCAATTACAGCTAAACTTAAGAGAAATTATGTACTATATTTTTTACTCCAGGGCTAGAAATGAACGTGATTTACTTTAAAATGGTGAGCATAGCAACAAGGTAAATATGGTGTGTTGTGAAGCATTTAAACTGAGATATGGCATGGTACAGAAAAAATTAGGTAAAATATTAATCAACTATTTTTATCTTTTTTGTATTTTAGCAAAATGAAATATTTATAACTTGCTCTGTAAACTATAAAACCATACACGGAAAGCATCTTTTATTTTCAGAGTATAAGAAAAAATGAGAAGTAGAAATTCAAATTGGCACATTTCATAATTTATTTTGAAGATTTAATTACCAAGTATACTTTTATCTGGTAATGAAAAGAATAAATAACTGATATATTGAGAAAAACAGAAGTGAGTCAAGCAGAAACCCCCTTGAAATGACACAGTTGATCATTGATAAATATTTCCTATTTACTGATATGACCACAGCATATTTTGTCTCTAATAATTAAGTCCCTGATGTTTTTAAAATCTTAAAATGTTTTTTAAAATAATGTGATTATGTAATGTAACTAAGTAATTTTTTAAAACCAAACTTCCAGAGCCATGGCCGCTGAGCCTGCGCATTCGGAGCCTGTACTCCGCAACAGGAGACGCCACAACAGTGAGAGGCCCACGTACCGCAACAAAAAAAAAACCCAAACTTCCAGAATTTATAAAGACAAATGAATATTCTCTCCTTTAAAATTTACATATTAATTTAAAAAGCTGTCGTTTCTCAAAACATTTTTTTGAAGTATTTTATTTGGAATTGCTTTGCAGTTGTGTTGCATTTTCTCTTAAACACTCTCTGAAATTGAGGACTTCTTTAAGGTTGTATGCAGCATGCAGCCCCAGGCGATCATTCAGTACTACTGCAGCAACTAGAAAACACTGGACAAAAAATTAAAATCGTACTTTTAAAGACATTGGAGAACTGTGAAATCATCAAGGACTGTATTAACTAAAATTCCTAAGAGGAAAGAGCCCTTTCTAGATGAGCTGAGATCACTGGTAATTTTCTTCCCCAGGGGTATTCGCTATTTTTAGGGACAGACTGATAATTCATCACTGGCACAGGACTCTACTGGAGGAAAGAAACTGTTGGAGGTCTTGACAAACACGTGGGCAGATGTGAAGTATTGACATTTAGAGGAGCTCCAAATGCATTGCTAGTTTTCCCAAATTTTCTCCAAATGCATGGGGCATTGGCTGAGTCTTGCTGTGGGGAAGGATGCTGGGGATGGACTGTGGAGGCAGGATGTTAGGAGGCCATGTCCTGCTAGAGGAATACTCATACAACAGGTCTCCTCAGTTTAAGTGTAGAGGAGAGAGACATTCAAGGAACTTGGCAAACCAAATCAGACATGAAGTTCACTTAAACTGCACCTGCAACCTATTTTCAGTTATTGGATGAAGGAAATCAGACCCCAGTGGTGGAAAGGGCAAACTCTTTGAGGCAAAATCTGATCTGAAGTCTGTATTGTTCTTGTATACGTAATGACTAGCATGCAGTTAAAAGTTACAAGAAATACAAAGAAATAGGAAAATGACTGATAATCAAAAGAACAAATAGAAAATAGAAGCAAATCCCAAGATGATCCATGTGTTGTCATTAGTAGTCAAAGATTTTAACATAATTTAAATGTTTTGAGAAAAAAGAAAAGATTGGGGCTTCCCTGGTGGCGCAGTGGTTGAGAGTCCGCCTGCCGATGCAGGGGACACAGGTTCATGCCCCGGTCCGGGAAGATCCCACATTCTGCAGAGCGGCTGGGCCCATGAGCCAAGGCCGCTGAGCCTGCGTGTCCGGAGCTTGTGCTCCGCAACGGGAGAGGCCACAACAGTGAGAGGCCCATGTACCGCAAAAAAAAAAAGAAAAGGTTGGATTAAATGGATGAAAAATCAGAAAATCTCGACAGAGAATTGGAACCTGTAATTAAGAAGAGTCATATAGATATTCTATAACTGAAATATTTTTGACATTAACTTATTGGATGGGCTTGGTCACAGGTTAAACACAGGATTAATGAACTAGTGAGAAGATAGAATTAGTGAACATGTAGAAAGGTCAATAGAAAAATATCCAAACTGAAGCACAGAAGAGGAACAAAAATGGAAAACAAAAAGTATATAAGAGTTACAAGGGACACAGGCAAATAGGTAAAAGCAAATATAATTGAAGTCTTAGAAGGGGCAGGGGAAGAGAATGGAGCAAAAGTAATATTTAAAGACGTAGTAGCTGAGAATTAATGTAAAGCTGTTGTAAAGTTATTAAGACAATGTGGTAATTAGAGTAGATTAGTAGACTAAGAATAATAGAGTTGAGAAAAATACCTACATATATATGGTCACCTGATTTATGATCCAAGCATCCCTGCAGATCAGTGGGGAAAGGCTGGTCTTTTCAATAAATGGTGCAGAGGCAATTAAATATCTGTATGAAGGAAAAAAAAACAAAAAAAAACCAAGAGCTCTACCTCAAATCATATGCAAAAAAGTAATTCAGGTAAATCATATGCAAAAAATGTAAATGTGAAAACAGAACAGTTTCCTTCTGGAAGAAAACTTAGGGAATAGCTTCATCTCCTTAGAGTAGGCAAAGATTTCTTAAATAGAATGCCGAAGTACTAAAAATTTATCAGTGGGACATCATTAAAACCGACAGCTTTTGTTCATCAAAAGACTCCATTATGTTTCTGGAAGAAAATATAGGGTAATATCGCTTTGACCTTCATGAAGGCAAAATTTCTTAGTACACATAAAGCTCTAAACGTAAAAGAAAAAAAGGTATAAAATGAATGTCATCAAATTTAAAACTTAAAATCTTTTCAAGAGACTTCATTAAGAAAATGAAAAGACAAGGCATAGACTGGAAGAAAATATTTGCAGTACGTATATCTGATAAAGGACTTGGTTCAGAATATACAAAGAATTTTTACAAACCAAGAATTTTAAAAGTCCAGTTTTTAAAATCTGGCCCAAAACTTGAAAAGACAATTCAGAAAGGAAGGTAAATGGTCAGTAAGCACATGTAAAGGGATTCAACATCCTTTATCCTCAGGGAAGTGCAAATATCATTTCATTCCTACTCAAATCACTAAAATTTAAAAGACTGATCATGCCAAATGTGGAACATCAAGATGCTTATACATTGCTGGTAGGAGTATAAAATGGCACATCATCTTTGGAAAACCATTCAGCAGTTTCTTTTAAAGTTAAACCCTATGACTCAGCGTTTAAACTTCCAGATATATACTCAAGAGAAGTGAGTGCATGTGTCCACCTGAAGATATGTGCAAAAATGTTTATAGTAGCATTCTTCATAATAGCCTCCAAACTGGCAACAACCCAAATGTCCATCAAGAGGGAGAATAAAGGATAAATCAGTTGAGGTGCATTCATACAGTGGATAACTACATAACATTAAAAAAAAAAATAGCTGATACATGCAACAGCATGAATAAATCTCATAGAAATTTTGGTGAGCAAAAAACGTGAGACACAAAAGACTGTATACTGTATGATTTCATTTATATGCAGTTCACAAGCATGCCAACTAATAGATACAGAATTCAGAATACTGGTTACCTCTGGGGAGTGAATATTGATTGGTAAGGGGCAAAAGGGAACCTTCTGAGATGCTGGAAATGTTCTGTGTCTTCCCTGGGTAGTGATTACATGGATACTTAGATTACATCAGAAACTTAATATTGGTGTACTTTTCATATGTATGTTGTATCTCAGTAAAGCAGAAAAAAAATTAGGGCTAATTTTTATCATGGAATAGCCATAAACTATTCACAACAAAGTAGTGAGTAATGTAGTCATGCTGGATGATGTCATCTTGAGGGAAGGTAACTGGATCTAACTATGAATTAATAACGTGTGCATTTTTTTTCTTTTTTTGGTGAGGTTCATAACTCAGAATGTACAAAAAAAGTTTAATGGAACATATTGGAATGAGTAGCTTCCAAGGTGGCTGCTTTGAAAGTCTTAAAAAAAATTTTTTTAAACCTTAAATTTCAATAGTTTTATTTATTTTTGTGGTTAGAACTTTTATCAACAGACTTCTAACCACATGCACAGAAACTTAAAAAAAACATATTACAAGCTGTGCATATTTACTGTTTATAAAAATTAGGAAATACGGGCAAACAAAAAGAGATATCAAAATCACCCATTTAAAAAATGTTTTTAATACCAGCAGTAACCTTTGATAATGTGTATATTTTTCTCTCTGTGCATTTTATACAGGCATGCATTTAATGGGATCATATTTTGAAGCATGCTTTTTAATATAGTCATCTTTTTATGTCACTAAATATTTTATAATATTTTCATAGTTCTGTAATATTCCATTGTATGGCTAATGCCATAAATTTATTTAATCCTTTATTGTTGGACATGCAGGTTTACATAGCCTTTTAATTTCTATTGTTGGTGTTATTTTAATTTTTCTTTATTATTTTTTAACATGTTTTTTAAAAACTGTTAATGTGCCATTAGTTTTGAAAAATCAGATATATGTCCTATGAGATGCCAAGGATTTCTTTTTCTTGTTGTTTTTGAACTCTTAAATACTTGTACCTTTTCTAAAAACAATATTTTTTTGTAATACCTGTTGTTTTAAAATTAGGAAACCAAAAACAAGCAAAAAATTTGCTTGCAATTCTAACTTCCATAGAATACCACTGCGAACTCTTGATGATAGGCTTTGAAGAATAATCTTGTATAAAGAGAGACCTGATCAGAGCTGTGTTTTAAAAGGCTTACTCTGATAGTTCTGTGCAAGGTAGGACCATTTAGGAGTTTATTTTAGTAGTTTTGAGGTTAATAACCAGGATAGTGACAGTAAGAATAGAAAAGAGATGGCTATAAGAGAGATAATAGAGCTAGAATACAGAATTTGATAACTGATTGGGAAGATGAAGGAGGGGATGCTGAGGATTTGAGCCTGGCAGTACAAAAGAAGGCTATTGCCATTTAACTGAAGGAATACAAGGCGAAGAACAGGTTTTAGGGGCACAAAATGATAGTTCGGACATTTACATGTGCAGTGCATATCATCCAGATGCACTGGATGTAAAGCATCTATCAGTTATACTGGGAAAGTGAGTCTGAAATTTGCAAGTGAGGTTAGGATTAGACATATAATTGGAAGTTATTTGAGAAAGGCAGTTGTTGAATTGTGAGACTGGGGATTATAAGAAATAGGGATAAGATTAAAGGATCATTGAAAGACTACAAGCAGCAGTGGATGGAAGGAGAATTGGGATCCTAAACACTGCAGGTAGCCTACAGTGGTAATCTCAAACTTTATGGAAGAGATGGTGTCCTGATGTTTATACTAAATGTTTTAGAGTAATCTACATTCATTCGAGAAAGGCATCCCTGTGCAAATTTATTTCCTATCCCACAGTTGTGATACACTCTGACATAATTTCTGAACGTGGATATCTGTCACCTCCACGTTCCCACGTCTACTTATCTAAGCCTTTTAGCCTCCAACATGGTGTATTATTTGAAGGTCAGATCTTAAGGTCACAGGCTATTTCTTGTTGTTAACATAGGGATTCTTTTCTTAATGCTTATAATGTCACTGTCAAGGTAAACCAGTGAAGTTGTCTTTGCTACATTTACTCACTTTTTGACAGATTTCCTTTTCAATCTATTTATGGATCATTTTTCATATAGAGGAACACTGCCCATAGCTATAAGATTGTAAATGTTCAAATACACTGTTTTGCATTTGGAAACCTAGTTGGCCAACAAAAGATTTTGCTGTGAACTAGAATGGGATGCCTCAGAATATATAAAATGTAAATGTATATAAATTACAGAAAAACTAATAGAAGATGAAAGTTCCCAACTTTCTTTGACAAAAATTTATCAACAGAAGGATTTAGATGGGAAAGGAAATAATGGATCAAAAGTCAGGAGACAGTGAGCATACAATCACTTAACTCTCTGCTGATTATAAATCAGTGTACTAGTAGAATGTACATAAATGTAGTATATAAAAGCTTGCTGTTTATTGGGGTGTTAAATAAAACAGCATACTGTGTTAATCTGGTGTTTTTCATGGCCATGTTGGTATAAGCTTAAGAGACATGGATTTTAAACACATAACTAGCTTTTGTGCCTCGGGCAAGTCTTTGAGTCTCAGTTGATCTCTCTGAAAGATGAGAATGATCCACTTTGCTATATTATTTCAGAAGTTGCAGATAATATATCTTAACTATTCCATATATATAGTATATTGCATGGAGACCACCCATAATCACCATTATCACAAAATACCACTGTTGTTGGGCTATAATTTATTATTCATAATTAGCAATAGGTAATATATGTAGAGTACTTTACAATTTATGATACGTTTTCAGATAGACCTGAAATCACTTTGTTCCCCAAGCAGACCTAAATGCCAAGAAATGTAGAAGCATGTCTTCAAAAAGTTATTTAGGGGACTTCCCTGGTGGCACAGTAGTTAAGAATCTGCCTGCCAATGCAGGGGACACGGGTTTGATCTCTGGTCCAGGAAGATCCCACATGCCATGGAGCAACTAAGCCCATGAGCCACAACTACTGAGCCTGTGCTCTGGAGCCCATGAGCCACAACTACTGAGCCTGCACGTCACAACTACTGAGCCTGCGTGCCTAGAGCCCATCTCTGCAACAAGAGAAGCCACCGCAATGAGAACCCACACGCAGCAATGAACACCCAATGCAGCCAAAAAATTTTTTAAAAATTAAGTTGATATTATTTTTAAAAATTACTTAGAATTTTGTCATGTTAATATATTGTGTTCTTTTTTACAGGAAGTACTTAAACAACTACAAGGAAGTATTGAAGATGAAGCTATGGCTTCGTCTGGACAGATTGATTTATTAGAGCGTCTCAAAGGTAGATTTATTTATTTATTTATTTATTTAACATCTTTATTGGGAGTATAATTGCTTTACAGTGGTGTGTTAGTTTCTGCTTTATAACAAAGTGAATCAGCTATACATATACATATATCAAAGGTAGATTTTTAAAAAGTGTTTTAAAGTAATTTTTTTAAGCTCTAGTTGTCAGCGTTAGGTGTATATACCCAAGTACAGCTTCTCTTGTTTAGAATGTTGGTATTGGGTTTTCTTGGCTTTGAATAAACTATTTTAGATTCCTTCCTTGATAATTTTCAGCTCTTTCTAAAACTCATTGCTGTTCCACTAGTCACTAAATAGGCCTTTAATAAGCTGTATGCCACAAACTGGGCCCACTGCTTCATTTGAAGGAGTCAGTGACCTTCTTTGTTCCGTCCAGTATAGAAGTGCTTTATCTTCATACATATGGCCTGATTTTTTGTGGGACTGTTTCTCTTATAGAACCAGGAGTCAATGAATTTCTCTGAGCATCAGCATTTGTGATAAGGATTTCTTCTGTTTCCTATATAAATTTGCTGCTCAATAGCTGCCATAATTTAGTACTCCTACAGGCTTTATGTAATATATATAATGTATTATCAATTATTATAAAATGGCTTAAAATCAGAGGGCTAAAATATGAACCAAAGATTTCATTTTTAAAAGATAGAACCGCCAGGAGGTGCTGAGGAGGGAGTCACGGGGTGGCTCAGTGTGCTGTGTGTAAAGTTTTCTCCGTGGGGGGCTGGGTTCACCTGACAAGTTATCTCTGGAGTTCAAGTTTGAGTTGAAACCAGCCTCAAGTTTCACCTGTCCTCACTGACCCATGGATTTCTGTGTGAGCAGCTGTGTGGGTTACAGGCTCTAGGTGCTCCAACCAAGTGTCAGGGCTGTGCCTCTGAGGTGGGAGAGCTAAGTTCAGGACATTGGTCCACAAAAGACATCCCAGCTCCACATAATATCAAACGGCAAAAATCTCCCAGAGATCTCCATCTCAATGCCAAGACCCTGCTCCACTCAACGACCAGCAAGCTACAGTGCTGGACATCCTATGCCAAACAACTAGCAAGACAGGAACACAACCCCACCCATTAGCAGAGAGGCTGCCTAAAATCATAATAAGGCCACAGACACCCCAAAACACACCACCAGACGTGGACCTGCCCACCAGAAAGACAAGATCCAGCCTCATCCACCAGAACACAGGCACTAGTCCCCTCCACCAGGAAGCCTACACAACCCATTGAACCAACCTTAGCCACTGGGGGCAGACACCAAAAACAATGGGAACTACGAACCTGCAGCCTGCGAAAAGGAGACCCCAAACACAGTAAGTTAAGCAAAATGAGAAGACAGAGAAACACACAGCAGATGAAGGAGCAAGGCAAAAACCCACCAGACCTAACAAATGAAGAGGAAATAGGCAGTCTACCTGAAAAATAATTCAGAATAATGATAGTAAAGATGATCCAAAATCTTGGAAATAAAATGGAGAAAATACAAGAAATGTTTAACAAGGACCTAGAAGAACTAAAGAGCAAACAAACAGTGATGAACAACACAATAAATGAAATTAAAAATTCTCTAGAAGGGATCAATAGCAGAATAACTGGGCAGAAGAATGGATAAGTGACCTGGAAGATAAAATAGTGGAAATAACTGCTGCAGAGCAGAATAAAGAAAAAAGAATGAAAAGAATTGAGGACAGTCTCAGAGACCTCTGGGATAACATTAAATGCACCAACATTCGAATTATAGGGGTCCCAAAAGAAGAAGAGAAAAAGAAAGGGACTGAGGAAATATTTGAAGAGATTATAGTTGAAAACTTCCCTAATATGGGAAAGGAAATAGTCAATCAAGTCCAGGAAACACAGGGAGTCCCACACAGGATAAATCCAAGGAGAAACATGCCGAGACACATATTAATCAAACTATCAAAAATTAAACATAAAGAAAAAGTATTAAAAGCAGCAAGGGAAAAGAAACAAATACCATACAAGGGAATCCCCATAAGGTCAACAGCTGATCTTTCAGCAGAAATTCTGTAAGCCAGAAGTGAGTGGCAGGACATATTTAAAGTGATGAAAGGGAAAAACCTACAACCAAGATTACTCTACCCAGCAAGGATCTCATTCAGATTGGACAGAGAAATTAAAACCTTTACAGACAAGCAAAAGCTAAGAGAATTCAGCACCACCAAACCAGCTTTACAACAACTGCTAAAGGAACTTCTCTAGGCAGGAAACACAAGAGAAGGAAAATACCTACAATAACAAACCAAAAACAATTAAGAAAATAGTAATAGGAACATACATATCGATAATTACCTTAAATGTAAATGGATTAAATGCTCCAACCAAAAGACATAGACTGGCTGAATGGATACAAAAACAAGACCCATATATATGCTGTCTACAAGAGACCCACTTCAGACCTAGAGACACATACAGACTGAAAATGAGGGGATGGAAAAAGATATTCCATGCAAATGGAAATCAAAAGAAAGCTGGAGTGGCAATTCTCATATCAGACAAAATAAACTTTAAAGCAAAGACTGTTTATTACAAGAGACAAAGAAGGACACTACATAATGATTAAGGGATCAATCCAAGAAGAAGATATAACAATTGTAAATATTTATGCAGCCAACATAGGAGCACCTCAATACATAAGGCAAGTACTGACAGCCATAAAAGAGGAAATCGACAGTAACACAATCATAGTAGGGGACTTTAACACCCCACTTTCACCAATGGACAGATCATCCAAAACGAAAATAAATAAGGAAGCACAAGCTTTAAATGATGCATTAAACAAGATGGACTTAATTGATATTTATAGGACATTCCATCCAAAAACAACAGAATACACTTTCTTCTCAAGTGCTCATGGAACATTCTCCAGGATAGATTATATCTTGGGTCACAAATCAAGCCTTGGTAAATTTAACAAAATTGAACTCGTATCAAGTATCTTTTCCGACCACAATGCTATGAGACTAGATATCAATTACAGGAAAATATCTGTAAAAAATACAAACACATGGAGGCTAAACAATACACTACTTAATAACCAAGAGACCACTGAAGAAATCAAAGAGGAAGTCAAAAAATACCTAGAAACAAATGACAAAACACAATGACCCCAAAGCTATGGGATGCAGCAAAAACAGTTATAAGAGGGAAGTTTATAGCAATACAATCCTACCTTAAGAAACAAGAAACATCTCAAATAAACAACCTCACCTTACACCTAAAGCAATTAGAGAAAGAAGAACAAAAAAACCCCAAAATTAGCAGAAGGAAAGAAATCATAAAGATCAGATCAGAAATAAATGAAAAGGAAAAGAAGGAAACAGTAGCAAAGATCAATAAAACTAAAAGCTGGTTCTTTGAGAAGATAAACAAAATTGATAAACCATTAGCCAGACTCATCAAGAAAAACAGGGAGAAGACTCAATAGAATTAGAAATGAAAAAGGAGAAGTAATAACTGGCACTGCAGAAATACGAAGGATCATGAGAGATTACGACAAGCAACTATATGCTAATAAAATGGACAACTTGGAAGAAATGGACAAATTCTTAGAAATGCACAACCTTCCAAGACTGAACCAGGAAGAAATAGAAAATATGAACAGAACAATCACAAGCGCTGAAATTGAAACAGTGATTAAAAATCTTCCAACAAACAAAAGCCCAGGATGAGATGGCTTCACAGGCGAATTCTATCAAACATTTAAAGAAGAGCTAACACCTATCCTTCTCAAACTCTTCCAAAGTATAGCAGATGGAGGAACACTCCCAAACGCATTCTGCAAGGCCACCATCACCCTGATACCAAAACCAGACAAAGATGTCACAAAGAAACAAAACTGCAGGCCAATATCACTGATGAACATAGATGCAAAAATCCTCAACAAAATACTAGCAAACGGAATCCAACAGCACAGTAACAGGATCATACACCATGATAAGTTGGGGTTTATCTCAGGAATGAAAGGATTCTTCAATATATGCAAATCAAGCAATGTGATACACCATATTAACAAATTGAAGGAGAAAAACCATATCATCTCAATAGATGCAGAGAAAGCTTTCGACAAAATTCAACACCCGTTTATGATAAAAACCCTCCAGAAAGCAGGCATAGAGGGAACTTACCTCAACATGATAAACGCCATATATGACAAACCCACAGCCAACATTGTTCTCAGTGGTGAGAAACTGAAACCATTTCCACTAAGATCAGGAACAAGACAAAGTTGCCCACTCTCACCACTATTATTCAACATAGTTTTGGAAGTTGTAGCCACAGCAGTCAGAGAAGAAAAAGAAAGAAAAGGAATCCAAATCAGAAAAGAAGAAGTAAAGCTGTCACTGTTTGCAGATGACATGATACTATACATAGAGAATCCAAAAGATGCTACCAGAAAACTACTAGAGCTAATCAATGAATTTTGGTAAAGTAGCAGGATACATACTTAATGCACAGAAATCTCTTGCATTCCTATACACTAATGATGAAAAATCTGACAGTGAAATTAAGAAAACACTCCCATTTACCACTGCAAGAAAAAGAATAAAATACCTAGGAATAAACCTACCTAAGGAGACAAAAGGCCTGTATGCAGAAAATTATAAGACACTGATGAAAGAAATTAAAGATGATACAAACAGATGGAGAGATATACCATGTTCTTGGATTGGAGTAATCAACATTGTGAAAATGACTATACTACCCAAAGCAATCCACAGATTCAATGCAATCCCTATCAAACTACCACTGGCATTTTACACAGAGCTAGAACAAAAAATTTCACAAAGTGTATGGAAACACAAAAGACCCCGAATAGCCAAAGCAAGCTTGAGAAAGATAAATGGAGCTGGAGGAATCAGATTCCCGGGCTTCAGACTATACTACAAAGTTACAGTAATCAAAGCAGTATGGTACTGGCACAAAAACAGAAATATAGATCAATGGAAAAGGATAGAAAGCCCAGAGTTAAACCCACGCACATATAGTCACCTAATCTTTGATAAAGGAGGCAAGAATATACAGTGGAGAGAAGACAGCTCTTCAATAAGTGGAGCTGGGGAAACTGGACAGGTACGTGTAAAAGTATGAAATTAGAAACACTCCCTAACACAATACACAAAAATAAACTCAAAATGGATTAAAGACCTAAATGTAAGGCCAGAAACTATCAAACTCTTAGAGGAAAACATAAGGAGAACACTTTATGACATAAATCACAGCAAGATCCTTTTTGACCCACCTCCTAGAGAAATGGAAATAAAAACAAAAATTAACAAATAGGACCTAATGAAAGTTAAGAGCTTTTGCCCAGCAAAGGAAACTATAAACAAGACCGAAGGACAGCCCTCAGAATGGGAGAAAATATTTGCAAATGAAGCAACTGACAAGGGATTAATCTCCAAGATTTACAAGCAGCTCATTCAGCTCAATAACAGAAAAACAAACAACCCAATCCAAAATTGGGCAGAAGACCTAAATAGACATTTCTCCAAAGAAGATATACAGATTGCCAACAAACATATGAAAGAATGCTCAACATCATTTATCATTAGAGAAATGCAAATCAAAACTACAATGAGATATCATCTCACACTGGTCAGAATGGCCATCATCAAAAAATCTAGAAACAATAAATGCTGGAGAGGGTGTGGAGAAAAGGGAACCCTCTTGCACTGTTGGTGGGAATGTAAATTGATAGAGCCACTATGGAGAACAGTATGGAATTTCCTTAAAAAACTAAAAATAGAACTACCATATGACCCAGCAATCCCACTACTGGGCATATACCCTGAGAAAACCATAATTCAAAAAGAGTCATGTACCAAAATGTTCATTGCAGCTCTATTTACAATAACCAGGACATGGAAGCAACCTAAGTGTCCATCATCAGATGAATGGATAAAGAAGATGTGGCACATATGTACAATGGAATATTACTCAGCCATAAAAAGAAATAAAATTGAGATATTTGTAGTGAGGTGGATGAACCTAGAGTCTGTCATACAGAGTGAAGTAAGAAAGAGAAAGACAAATACCCTATGCTAACACATATATATGGAATCTAAGGAAAAAAAAGGTCATGAAGAACCTAGGGGTAAGTCGGAAATAAAGACACAAACCTACTAGAGAATGGAGTTGAGGATATGGGGAGCGGGAAGGGTAAGCTGTGACAGAGAGAGTGGCATGGACATATATACACTACCAAACGTAAAATAGATAGCTCGTGGGAAGCAGCCACAGAGCACAGGGAGATCAGCTAGGTGGTTTGTGACCACCTAGAGGGGTGGGATAGGGAGGGTGGGAGGGAGGGACACACAAGAGGGAAGAGATATGGGAACATATATATATGTATAACTGATTCACTTTGTTATAAAGCACAAACTAACACACCATTGTAAAGCAATTATACTCCAATAAAAATGTTAAAAAAAAAATACCGTATGCTAACATACATATATGGAATTAAAAAAAAAAGTTCTCAAGAACTTAGCGGCGAGACGGGAATAAAGACACAGACCTACTAGAGAATGGACTTGAAGATATGGGGAGGGGGAAGGGTAATCTGGGACAAAGTGAGAGAGTGGCATGGACACATATACACTACCAAATGTAAAATAGATAGCTGGTGGGAAGCAGCCGCATAGCACAGGGAGATCATCTCAGTGCTTTGTGACCACATAGCGAGGGTGAGAGGGGGACGCAAGAGGGAAGAGATATGGGGATATATGTATATGTATAGCTGATTCACTTTGTTATAAAGCAGACACTAACACACCATTGTAAAGCAATTATACTCCAATAAAGATGTTAAAAAATAAAAAGATAATATAATTGCATTAGCAATATTTTAGAGCACTTAAAGCAATTGTTTTATAAAAACTTGTCTGTATTTTATTTAGAACTTAACTTAGATAGCAGTAATTTTCCTGGAGTGAAACTACGGTCAAAAATGTCCCTCCGTTCTTACGGAAGCCGAGAAGGATCTGTATCTAGTCGTTCAGGAGAGTGCAGTCCTGTTCCTATGGGTTCATTTCCGAGAAGAGGGTTTGTAAATGGAAGCAGAGAAAATACCGGTTATTTAGAAGAACTTGAAAAAGAGAGGTAACTTTTCTTCATTAAATAGTAAACTTGTATGCTCCAATTTTTGCTAGTATTTTGTCATTTTTTAATGATACAAGATAGGAATTATGAAGCGTGTATGGTGGATGATCACAAACAGGGAGCATTTTGCATTTATTATCTCAAAAACAGTATGTTATTAATTGTACTTACCTTAAATCGAAAAAATGTAAAGGAGGCAATTTCTTGGGATTCTGAACTTCTACTTTGTCACTTAAATACTCACATGCTCTGTACATTGAGTAATACACATGATCACAATAGTTATATCTGGCTAAAATATGTAACTGATTTTTAATTGAATTTCTGGTTATCTTTTGAAATGAATTAAATAACTACTAGATCCAGTATAAGATGACTGTTTCCATTATTAAAGGCCTATCACAAGTGGCCACAAATGAAACATTTTTTAATTTATCAGTTTCCAAGTCTAAAAAACATTACTTGACATAGAATAAGTTCTGGTTTCTCAGAGCTAGCATATTAATTCTTTTCTTCTTGAAGTTAAAATCATCCCACTATGAGTATCAGAATATATATCGTTATTAGGAACTTTGTCAGGTGTTTTGTACCTTCTAAAAATGTATAAATTTCTTTATGTGTGATAAATACCATATTATATTTATATTCCTAAAAGTTGTATTAGACTTTCAAGAAATATTCAAATGTATAAATGTTACATATTACCTCTGGGACCTTGGTCAAGTCACTAAATTTTTGTGTCATTCCCTTCTGTAAAACAGGGATATGATTCTACCTTGTGGAGTTATGAAAAATGAATATTAATATATGGAAAATGCCTAGCATATCTCACTGAGAGGCAAAAGACCTTTTACTACTTTCCCTCTGGTTTCAGGTTTGTCCATCTCTAAAAATAGGGATAATCATCTGGACCAGAAATAGTGTTAAGCTTTCTTTACTCTTCGGAGTTTACATGAGTCTCTGTTTCATACCTTGAATCGCAACTGTTTCTGAGAGTCTAGGAAACACTATCCTGAAAAATAAGAAGCTAATAACTAGGGTCTACAATCTTCCATCTCTTTGTCCCCTTTGAGCTCTGCTAAGAGGAATGTGAGCATACTGACTTTCCTAGGAACTTACTTTGCTTCATGTAGATAAAAGTCTAATTTTATTAGCAGAGAGAGAGGGGGGAGAGTATGTGTGTGTGTAGTTCTGATATATCTTGTGTCCTCTTAGTTTTCACTGTGTTTGGAGGTAAATTTAGTTTTTGTTTATGTGACAAAATCTTTATTTTGCTCTCACACCTGATAGTTTGGATAGGTCTAGGCTCAAACTTATTTTCCTTCTTCATAATCAATGTCACTGATGAAAAATTTGGTATCGGTCTGATTCACATTCCTTTCCAGGGAACCATTTTTCTTCTTTTGAAGCTTTCAGAATGCCTTGGTATATGTGTTTTCTTGATTCATCATGCTGTATACTCACTGTGCCCTTTTTCTCTGGAAATGTATTTTCTTCAGCTTTTGAAAATTCTGTTATTTCTTTGATGATTTTTCTCCCTCTGTTTTTCTATTCTTTCTTTCTAGATATCCCTTAAGTCATAGATCAACTATCTCTGTGTCTCTTTTTTTTTCTTGTTTTCTGTATTGCCCAAGATAATTGAGATAAGTGTTAGAAAGTAGTCAAGCCAGGACTCAAACCCAGGTCCATAACCTTTTTGAACTTCAGTTTTCCAGTCTGTAAAATTAGCATAAGAATAACTAGCTAGGGCTTCCCTGGTGGCGCAGTGGTTGAGAGTCCGCTTGCCGATTCAGGGGACATGGGTTCATGCCCCGGCCTGGGAGGATCCCACATGCCGCGGAGTGGCTGGGCCCGTGGGCCATGGCTGCTGAGCCTGCGCGTCCGGAGCCTGTGCTCCGCAACGGGAGAGGCCACAGCAGTGAGAGGCCCGCGTATCGCAAAAAAAAAAAAAAAAAAGAAGAATAACTACCTTAAAAGATGTTGTGAGGATAAAATTCGAGTTTTTAAAAAGTACTTAGCACTATGTCTGATACACTCAATAGACAGCTATTGTCACATTAGCCATTAATACATTTAACAAATATTTAAGTGCATAATACATGTGTCATGCTCTTCTAGATGATCTTGAATTAGAGGACTAAGAAGACATGAGATTTACATTTTAAAGAAGACTCTTGACAGTCACTAAATAAGCCATTAGTACACCAAACAAACTACAGAGACCCACCAGCTTCTGGGTCTGGACCTTGTTTCAGTGTTGAGTCTTAAGCACTGTTGTGTAGGTTACAAGATCAGCTACTCTCAACTAACCACTTGTTATCATGCTGGCTCAAGACTTGGTAACTTTTGCTTCCCCAGAGCATTTTGCCACAGTTCAATCTTAAACTTGAGAGTAACAACTTGTCCCTCTTCTCCTTAACATTTTCCTCACTCCACGACCATCACTAACATTAGCCTGTCCATTTAAGCACTTTTAGCACCGAAATCTTATTTAAATAAGCCTATTTATTGGAGAGTAATCAGAGGAAATAGCATCTCCATCTATCCCTTATTTCCCCACCTTAGTCCTGGTAGGTCCTACAGGTACTCACCAGGGAACATTGAAAAATAGAATCAGATCTCATTTTTATGTCAGTTTTAGTATCCAGCCTGTGAAAGAGATTCAAGATTTCTACATTGCTTTCTCCTGGTTCTTTCGTCAAAAATGGAAGGGAGGGGACAGCTTCTCATTGGTCAGCACACCTCCCCCACCCCAGGTTGTTACATCATAACCAGGGCCTGGCTTCCTTCCCATGGATTCCCTCACTACTGAGGTTGCCACATCAAAAGTGAAGGCTTATTTCTTATTTTTTAAATTGCTTCTCACTAAAGGAAAGGGAATATTAGCAAGAATAGAACCTTCCACATACTCACATTCATACATATTCTTCAAGAAAATATAATCAAGTAGAATTTTAAAGTAACAGTGTCAGAGTGGGGAACAACTGTGTGTAGGAGCAAACCCCAGAAGCCATAATAAAAAATATCCTCAGATCTGACTACGGGAAAATTAAAATTTTCGACATGGCAAAAACATAGTGAAAAAACAAGTGTAAACTGAGAAAAAATATTTATAACTGACAAAGTGCTATCATTCTTAATATAGAAGAGGTCCTATAAATAAGAAAAAGTCACAGAAACGGAAATACAAATGGATTTTAAACTTGAAAAAATACTTAACCTTACTCATACTAATAGAAATCAAATTATAACCATAGTGATGTACCATTTCTTAAAATCCTAGGTATGTAAAAAATTTTTAAACATTTGATAAAATGTTTGCATTGGTGAAGGTGGCAAGAGCATAAATAGGTACAATACCTAATAAGGGCAGTAATTTTAAAATTTACATACCCTAGGAATTTATCTTCTGTACATGCTTGCACATTTGTGAAATGAACTTATGTATAAGGATATTCAGTGCAGCATTGTTTGTAATAGCAAAAGATTAGAAAGATCCTAAATGCTCTCCAGCATAGAACCAGTTATAGTTTATCCCTGTCTTTGCAGCTAGCAAAAAACACATAAGACCTTCTTATGTTCTGATACAGAGTGATCTCCAAGATAGATTTTTAAGTGGGAAAAAAAAGTTATAGGACAACACATATAAAAATATGCTACTATTTATGTTTAAAAAATGTACATGTAATTATATATATATATCCTTGCATTTTTATAGAGTATCTCTGGAAATAATATACACGAGAGTGATAATAGTGGTCGCTTTGGGAAAGAGCCACATGAAAGGAGATAGATCATATACTTCTTGTACCTACCAATTTTTTCCCATTAACACTCTTATTTTACATTTATCTTTATAATGGTCAGATATGGAGTATCTTGATATAGATTGTTATTGAGGATATCATCGATTAGGTTGTGAGGAATTATATAACAAATTCATCTTCAAATTCCAAACTAAGAAAGCGTTTCTCTCCCTCAGAATAATTTCCTCTTATTACACAGTGACATATATTTCTTACTGTTTTAACTGCTGAGAAGCTGAAAGCTACATCTATGTCCAATACAGTAGTTCCCTGTACTCTAGGTTTGTTTTTTGCATAATTACTGCTTTTCTTTACTCCTTTATTATACTTTTTATTCTTGTATTAAGTCCCACCTTCAAAAATCCAAAATTAATAAAATTTTCATTTATTCATTATACTTTAAATAGAGAACAGTACAGTTACAGCTTATCAGAACTGCTGTTGTGTGTGCTATATTAGCATTGTGTAAACTTAACTTTTTTTGAAAAACAGATCATTGCTTCTTGCTGACCTTGACAAAGAAGAAAAGGAAAAAGACTGGTATTATGCTCAACTTCAGAATCTCACTAAAAGAATAGATAGTCTTCCTTTAACTGAAAATGTAAGTAACTTGACAAAGTGACTCATTTGTAATATCTAAAAGTATATATAAATTTATAACTGCATTTATAGTTATTTGTAAACAGTAATATGTTTTATCCAACTTTAAACCTAAATATATAATAATGAATTTTGTTTATAAAGATGATAAAACTTCATTACACTCAAGCATATTTATTTTAAGTCCCTTGTTAAGAAAACCTCTTAAGTTTGAATACTAAAGGACTCAGGGTTCTACAAGGAAACTGGTTTTTTATTCTGTGTGTTCAATTACCAGACGTACTCTGTAGAAATGTTTATTACCATCTGTCTGTTTTTTGAACTGTATTACAGGACTCATGCCAGATAATTTTTGCATTAAAAGTATCTTTGAGATAACTTGTGTCCTATTCAAACGACAGTATCTGGTGGTATGGATCTTAGGGCTTTTTGCAGGTATACTAAATTTGTTTTGCAAATATAACTATGTAAAAAAAAAATAATTTAACTCTGTCAGCCTCTTCCTCCCCACCCACCCTCTCCATGTCAACTGTTTTATTCATGGGATGGCACATGTAAGAACATTTCTGAAATACATTAATAACAATAACTTTAAACAAGACTATATTTTAACTGTTATCCATAAATTTTAAAATAATTTTTAAAAAGGGAAAAAATAGGCTAATTAAAATATATCTTCCGCTCTTAGCTTAAATTTTTCATTTTCTTTTCTTTGGTCCCGCCTCACGGCTCGTGGGATCTTAGTTCCCTGACCAGGGATCGAACCCAGGCCCTCAACAATGAAAGCGCAGAGTCCTAGCCTCTGGACCACCAGGGAATTCCACACATGCAGCTTTTTATTGGGCATATAGAGCATGAAAAATCTACAGCACTTCCTTAACTCGTCATGGCCCATTATAACTCTGTTACCTATCATTTTGTCTAGTTATATTTTTAGCCTTTATCACCTCTTGGAGCATGTCTTTGCAAGTTTATTTACCTTGTCCTTTTCATCCTTTTTTATGCCTAGCAGTTACCACAGTACCTGGAATTTTAGTTAAAGGGCAAATAAAATTTTGAATGAATTAACACCCACTCTGTGAAGTACTTTTTTTGGTTTGTTTCAACTTGGGTTCACATTTGGATTTTTACCAAAAAGTTTGTGTTGTCTCACAATTAATGATTATATTATATAAAAGCTTTTTCTTATTCCATTTTCTTCTTTTTACAAATAGGAAAATTCTCTCTGTTTAGTCTACATGTATACAACAGCCCGTACCTAAAATTGAGGTATAAACTTAAGGATGATGGACCTGATTCTTGATTATTCTATGTTGTCCACATTACTATTCTAGTTTTTAGTAATTCAAAGTACTACCTCTTCAGAGCAGAAGGATTATAAGGTGACTGAAGATAGGCTTACCCTAACTGGACCGATTATATATTTAATTTAATTTATTTATTTATAAAATTTATTTATTTATGGCTGCATTGAGTCTTCGTTGCTGCGCGCAGGCTTTCTCTAGTTCTGGCGAGCAGGGGCTACTCTTTGGTGCACAGGCTTCTCATTCTGGTGGCTTCTCTTGTTGCAGAGCACAGGATCTAGGTGCGCAGACTTCAGTAGTTGTGGCACACAGGCTCAGTAGTTGTGGCACACAGGCTTAGTTGCTCCGCAGCATGTGGGATCTTCCTGGACCAGGGTTCAAACCCATGTCCCCTGCATTGGCAGGCAGATTCTTAACCACTGTGCCACCAGGGACGTCCCCAATTATATATTTTAAATGAAAGTGTACAATTTAATTAAAGCTGTTTGTGACTATGGGGCAATAAAAGTGTTTCAACTCTGCATTTCACATCAGAGACCCAGTCTGAGCGTAGCACTGATAATCAAGTTTTAGGACTCCTTGGAGTAAAAAATAATTCTCTCATGCACAGTAACTTACATATTTGCTTATTCATTTTCTTTATTGGTACTTATATGCTGTTTTATTTTTACTGATAAACACACAAGATATTAACGTTTCCATTTTATTTGTGGTTTTAGTTTTCCTTACAGACAGATATGACCAGAAGGCAGTTGGAATATGAAGCAAGGCAAATCAGAGTTGCAATGGAAGAACAACTGGGTACTTGCCAGGATATGGAAAAACGAGCACAGGTAACTTATTTATTATTAAACTGTGAAACAGCACTTGCTAGAGATCTATTAAGAATCTAATGAATTACAGCTCTGTTACCATTGATTAAATTTTATTATTAGAGATATGTTAAAGTCTGTCTTTACTTTGACACTAGTTCAAAATAAGAATAATTTACCATGACCCTGATACCAAAACCAGACAAAGATGTCACAAAGATGCACAAAGGTCCTGCATCTATCACTGATGAACATAGTTGCAAAAATACTTAACAAAATACTAGCAAACAGAATCCAACAGCACATTAAAAGTATCATACACCATGATCAAGTGGGGTTTATCCCAGGAATGCAAGGATTCTCCAGTATATGCAAGTCAATCAATGTGATACACTGTATTAACAAATTGAAGGAGGAAAACCATATGATCATCTCAATAGATGCAGAGAAAGCTTTTGACAAAATTCAACACCCAATTATGATAAAAACCCTCCAGAAAGTAGGCATAGAGGGAACATACCTCAACATAATAAAGGCCATGTATGACAAACCCACAGCCAGCATCGTCATCAGTGGTGAAAAACTGAAACCATTTTCACTAAGATCAGGAACAAGGCAAGGTTGCCCACTCTCACCACTGTTATTCAACATAGTTTTGGAAGTTTTAGCCACAGCAGTCAGAGAAGAAAAAAAATAAAAGGAATCCAAATCAGAAAAGAAGAAGGAAAGCTGTCACTGTTTGCAGATGACATGATACTATACATAGAGAATCC